AGAGAATCCCACAGAACTTGAAGAAAGCGAAATTGAAGAAGAAGAAGAAAAAAGATCTGGAATCGCCATGAGCTCTATGGGATACAGATGGACTACGGTAAAGGGGCTCAAGCAATTGAAGGCGCCCAAGGAAGACGGAACATAGCAAGACCTCAAGGACTTCTTGATAAGCCTGACAGACAAAGTAATCATCAGGTGGGCGGACGGAGGTGATGTGGGCTACATTCTGGATGAAAAGGCGGAGCCTGAGATAAAGGAGCCTGACCCATTAACGGCTGCAGAAGAGGCAGACCCCAGAAAGGTCAAAGCGTACGATCCGTTGATGGACAAGTACAAAGATTGGAAGGATACTTTTTGGACTAAGACAATTGCTATGTTTCAGTTAATCATGAGCAACGTGACTACCACAATGAGAAACAAGATCAAATTGACTGATGGCCATCTGGCCAAATACAGCGTCGCTGTTCCTCGCGGGCGGCCTCTTTTTGCTGCCGTGTCCGAACAAGAACTGAAAGCTGGCGAGTCAATCATTGTTCAACGTATTGTTCAAGATGCTTCACCAAGCGCATTCAAAAATACAGCAACGACCTGGCTTAGTGTGTTGGGCACACGAGTGCAGATGGGACAAACGACATTTGCTGCAGCTTCTGGTCTTGTGAGCCGTTCTTACGCCAACCTTGTTTCGGTTAGCCCTGCTACAGTCGACGGCAATGACAAGCAAAGTGCCAAAATTTGTTTCCCACCAGATCCTGTTTGTGCCCGGTTGGCAATGTGTCTCATGGATGATAGTTGGTCCATGGCTCTTTCAAAAGACACGACTCTGAATGGAAGACCAAAAGTATGGTGGGTACAGAAGATGAAGGACCTATTTTCAGACCATTTTTGTTCACCGGAAAAGGGAGACTTTGGGGAAGTCATGGTAGCTTTGTGTTTTTTGTTCTGTGCGGATATTGTCCGAGGTAGTTTGAAGGACAACAAGGACTACACTACTTTCTCAGTACCACTAAATGATTGGATCAAATGTCTAATCAATAGGGGTCGTAGTGGTGATGATGGTGACGACGGTGACGACATGATGACTCAAAATAACGATTGCCAGGTCCATTTCAGTGCCATCCAAGTCTGTCGTAATTATGCCCGTGCGTATGATGACTCGTGGTCTTTACTTCAGAATGAAGTGTTCGTGGA